AGCCGAGAGAGACTGGAGAGTGCCTGTCGAGGCTCCGGCTCAGCTCTGGGTGTCGCACGTCGGCAATGCTTTCGAGGAGAGAGATTCCGTCGGCAATGTTGAGATGAAGTTGCACGCTTCCGTTTGCTCTTACCGGTGGTTCAACTTCCAAAAGATGTTTGGTAAGAGCCTGAGAGGTCCTGAATTTGATTCTTAAAGTTCACAGGGGTAATTGTGGATAGCGTCCCTCTAGTTTTATTTATGAATGGAAATCTTTTTATTCTTTTACTCATGCATGGAGAAAGATATATGTCAAACAAATAATTTTCTCTTTCTCTGATGATGAAATAAAGTCGAAAGAAAAGTTCACTCAACCAGTCTATTTACAAAACAAACTCTTGGTATTTTGATACTAGAGTTAAAAATCTTCCAAATACACAGACAAAGATGAGCATGATTGAAATAAAATTGACTCCACATGCTTGTATCTTATAGTATAAAAACTCATATGAGATTCATAGTATGTACTTAGCATTATTTTTATAGACAAGCACTAACATATTTTCTCTTCTGCAGGTTACAACTGGAAAACAGGGAAACTGGACCCTGTTGTGATGAACGTGCAATCCAAAGAGGCGTCTCTGGTCCATCTTGTTGAGGTAAACTACCCCTTCAACATTTTATTTGCAAATCTTGTGTACCATGTTAACCGAGACTAAATCTTATCAGAACCATAACCAGAACAGTTACTCAAAAAAAAAAAATATCCGCGCTAGCTTTTACGCGGGTGTTCTGATAAAATTTACTCCGTATTAACCCTCGCCAGCGCGCGCATTCACGCTTACAGGTATCAATCAAGTTGGATGCAAGAGGAGGATGTAGGCAATGCTCGATAAAAAGGCCTTCAGAGCAATGGAAAAGATCAGCAGACTTTCCGGTGATCAACCTGGCTTACTCTGGCCGGAGAAATGCTTACATCTATGCCGGAACAAGCTCCGGCAGCAGGAGATTCCTGCCTCATTTTCCATTTGATACAGTGTTGAAGATCAACTGTGATGATGGGTCAGCGGCATCTTGGTGGGCCGGGAAACGGGCGTTCGTTGGAGAGCCCATATTTGTCGCTAGGGAAGGAGCAGAGGGGGAGGAGGATGGATATATAGTTGTCGTAGAGGTGAGAAAAATATACATCTACAGAAAGTCTGCCAAAATTTTCAGGACTTGCACAAAACATCTTCCTAAAGGGTCAATTTGGCAACTCCCCGTGCGCACGTGTGTGTATATATACACATACGCGCGCGCACGTACACACGCAAACCAGCACACACACGCACACACCCAAACAGTTTTGACGTGTAACCGGTTTAGTCCTGTTTTATTAGAAATGATTTTTTTATTTATGAAAAATTAATAACTATTTGATTAGAAATAAAAAATGAAGTGTCATTTTTAAAACTTCAGCGGGATTTTCCATTATTCCTGCGACCCATCGGTTGAGAAATAATATAATTAATACAATTCTTTTATTATATTTACTGAAATGATTTTTATTTATTTATTTTATTGCGGAACAGTATGCAGTATCGAAGCAGAAGTGTTACCTGGTGATTCTGGATGCAAAGCTCATAGGAAGACCTAATGCTCTGGTAGCGAAGCTTGAAGTCCCAAAACACTTGAGCTTTCCTCTTGGATTCCATGGGTTCTGGGCTAGCAAATAGCAACATATTTGTTTATCTGATAGCTTCTGTGTATAGTTGTTCATCAATTTTACACAATTTCCCCCTTTTTCTTCTTCTCAAGAGAAATTGTCATTATATCCCCAAATGTAGCGATAGCGATCATGTACATACCCACAACAGTTTTCCAATAGTGAAATGTTCATCTATGCAAAACAATCATGTATATGTAAATTTGCCGTTATTTGGTTACATTAACTTATTTGTCTTGTGTTTGAAATGGATTATGTAGTGCAACTCTTTTCTCATAACCCCTTCTGCCAGAAAACAATCAAGAAGAG